TAAAGAAATCGAGTACAGTGTACATAAAGGAAATAGTTTCGGGCACTCATCCCATCGCAAACCCTCCCCATCCCCTCTCCCTCCGTGTCCTTCTTTACTCTCTCCCTCTCTCTGTATTTTGCGTCTTACAATTCTGGAAAAGGACACTTCTCCAAAACTGCTGAATCCGTTCATTTGCTTTTTAATATGGAGCCAGTTAGTTTTAATATTCACAAGCTAATTTTTCATTTCACTTTTTGGCTGCCTTCCGCATCAATTCGGTTATCTTTTCGTTTGAAATGCATGCCTCTATCGCTGCTCTTATGGCAGAATTATCTACAAATTCAGTGATTTTGAAGGCCTCTCCTTTCGCGGTAAATAAGCAAACATCAGACATTCTGAAACAGAAAAAGCGAAGACGCATCGCTTTGGAACTAATTTACAGTAAAAAAGTTACTGGAGATGCTTGACTAATGTAAGTAAGAGTATTCTAACCACTGTCCACAGAAATTTTAAGTTAAAAGCTTCAATATTTACCGATACCCTCGCGTAGCGGTGTTGTTTCGTCCCTGGCGGTTAAAATCAAAAGTTAACTCCCCTTGCCACGTCTCATTCTCCTCTCCGCGAAAGGCAAAAGCACATGGAAGTAGCCCAGGTACTGGCACGCAGCAACAGTAACCACCTGATATTTCTTTTTTAAGCCATCGCCGGTTACTTTTTAAAAACAAATCAATGAGTTCGGATCCCTGCCATTCGCCAATTGCTAACAAACAACACTTTCAACTATCTAGCAAAACTGTGAAACATTTCCAGCGCACTTAGCAGTATTGCAAATATAATAATCTAAAAATAAAGAGAAAATGTCTGCTGTGCTGACGGCGCTAATGAACTCAACGATAAACCCGGAGATGGGCAGAGAATGGAAACTCACTTCCTCAATTTTGGCGACCATTTCGTTACCACCAACAGCAGGAAGTGGCGGCTTCACTGGATAAACACCCTGTATTTGATTGATATCAGCCGGATTGATGGGCGACGCGAGAATACGAACACGCACTTCGCCAGCACCCAGCTTTGAACTGATCTCTGCCTCACACAAATGCAACACCTATTTTGAAAAGATGCCGTTAAATTTCATGGAAATTAAGTGGGCATGAACAAGAACTACATGATCAAGACCACGCACGAAAAGGCAATGGCCTGTGGGGGCGAAACGTGGTCACTGACAAAAGCTGAAGAGCTAACGTTGTTTGTGAAATAGGAAGAGAATATTTGAAGCACTTCTTCTTGACCATATAAGCCACTAGTAAAGCAGGTACCAGTGGGACTACAAATGAAAATAAGATTCGATGAGAAGGAAATTTTGCTTGCCTTGGCGTGGGCCTATGCTCAGTAAGAAATATTAGCGAAAAAGGATACTGGCACACATAAAGACAGTCAGTACCAACTAGTGGTAAGCAGTTCAGGATGGAACGGTTCAGTGTAGTTGTGCCCAATGTACAAGAAATCCTCATCAAAAATCACTTCTCCCACCGATTTTTGGCAGTTCTCGTATATACGAAAAATACTGGATTTGCTTTTATATGCCATCGCCAGCAACAGCAGTAAGCCCAGAATGGCTAGGAAATGAAGTAACTTATGTCTTATCACTTGTACAGAATTGATAACTATGTTAATGGTTTTAAAGATTTGGTTGCACTGAAAGATCGAAGACATCAAAAACGACCTTCTCTGGATCTCCATGGCTGTCATATACTAACTGCTTGGAAGCAATGCAACGCCTTGAGCAATTCCGATAGAACGTCGGCAAAACCCGTGAATGCGCGAACATCCGACCACTTCAAAACGTTAACTTGATAATCGCAAAAATATTGATTTCGGTGATTAACTGATGCAACTTGACCTGCGCTACCAGAACAGAACCGACTTCTGGCAGTTCCTGCCACTTCACAATTGCTTTTAGCCAGGTTTGGATTCCGTTACATACCAAATTTAATGCCCCGATAGTGAGTGCTGGTATCCGATAGCAGTGCCGTATATGCAGTGGAACACCAGTGCAGTTTTAACCCCACGCAAAGGAAATATTGGGAAATTTGCAAAGCACTGCAACCGATCATTCGTTAAGCGTGCGGTAACCGGCGAAGAATTGTACAAAGAATCATTTATTTCAACAAATCCGGTCGAAAAACAATAAATAAAAAACGCAGATGCAGAGAAATATGTCCAAAAATTGTCAGAATTGCCAATTTAAAGCATTCAAACACAGTAAACTCGAGCAGTCAGGACAAAACCAAGTGGAAGGTGCGTTTCCTTACAAAAAAGAAAAGTTTCTGATCAAAAACTTCAACGAAAAATTCCGGAACTTTCAGGCACAGTGCCAAACTGAACAAAAAACTTTTGGTTTTTACTGTCGGAGGGGAAAAAAGAAACAATATTAACGATGCTCATAAATGCGCATACACATTCATTAAAAAATCGCTTCTTACAGTCCTTGTTTCCCCACTAACTTTCATTAAAAAGCCGTTCCTCGGAATCTCTACAAACCTCTAACCTTCGATGAGAACCGGTTCCTTGAAATCTTTGTTATCCCCTACGTTTTTTAGAGAAACGCTGTTTAAAATAATGATAAAAACCCAAGTGATCCAGACCAATTGCACTTCTGACTAATAAAAGGGGCGAAATACAGAGAGGTACTTAACTGCTTGATCAATCAACCATTTTCCAGGCCAAAGGAAGAGGAAGGAAACAGCGATGCGCCAGGGTGGCTGGTGCGATCATATGTTTTGTGCAATCCCAACTGTTTTAAACTTTGTTACGCGCAAAAACAATCGATACGATGGCCGGTTCCTAAGCTGCGAAATTTCCCACTAAAATTTCACTGTTACGTGGAACGTGAAAATCCGTGAAAAGTGAATTTAAAAGTTTTGCATCTCACATGGACGAGGAAACATCCTTCCAGACTTTCAACTTCCTAGTTTTCTGGCTTCCGAGTTAGTGACTTCCGCGTCAAAACTTTCACATGGCTGTATTTAAGACCTAGGCATATGTGAATGAGTTTGTGAGGTCCCGAGATCCCCACACAGAAAGAAAACATGACCCTGAAATTGCAGCCTCCTAGAGATAATTTTTCCTGGAAGAACTTTCATAGGGCCTTACCTGAGGCCTAGGGATGCGTGAAAGCTGATTTTAAATTTGTGCGATGGCACATAGGCAAGAGATATTCTCCTAAAATTCCCGGTTCCTGGCTTTCGTGGTTCCCGAGACATAATTCTCTCGTCAGAGCTTACTTTCACGGTAGTAAGTGGTACCCAGGGGTATGTGAAAGCTGAATTTAAATTTGCTAGGTCACAAGTGGCCAGAGGACATCACTCGAAACTTTTAGCTTCCTAGCTTCTGCGCTCCCCGAGCTGGAAGTGCGGAACAAAACGCACTTGCACCACACACACATACGTACACATACACACACATAACACGCACACACATAAACAATGCGATAATGTTTTGTGCTGCTGTTACATAGCGCAAGATGCGTAAAAAGGGAAGAAACCCAAGTGTAGGAAATATGCACTGCCTAAAGAATCAAAAGCAAAATCTGTATAGATTAAAAAATTTCTGACTAAAATAAGCTCAAAATTAAGTCTGTAACAACAGGATTTGCCGTAGCAATTAAAAAGTTAAGTGTGTGAAAATTTGTTTGTAAATTTTTGCATTTCAAAAAACATTTTACACAGCATAAACAAATATTACTCACATATTAAAGAGAAACAGATGAAGAGAGCCCTGCCCATCGAGAAGCTGCTTGCTACCCTAAGCACGAATTGAGCTGTTGCTAAAAAATGCTCGATTTTCTATGAATAGGTATCAAGGATTCACTTGTCTCTATTCTTGAATAAATAAAAGGAGTGCTTAAGCCGAATAATTCTGAGCTGTGTTCCCAAAGAACTAATTTGGGCAATTGTCCCAGGTTCCCAACTAACTACCAAATAACAGTCAAAACGTGCAAGCAGATACCAAAACTGTTCCTTTGCCTTTCCATCCGCACACTCATACCACCCCTCACTTTTACCTCCTTCCGGTTCCTTCCCAGCATTCATAAGCATTTGCAAGCATTGCTTCGGAGTGCCGGACAGACCTCCGGGCATACTTAGCACGCTCAGTTAAGAAATAAACTGAAGACACAAATGAAATTTGAAGACATATGCCTAACTAACACGGCAGTGCAAATGTGCATGAATTCAAGAAGAACCAGACGATGAACTGGGTGATTTCGAGCGATTTCGAGGCTTCTTCGTTGCAATCGCCTCATCCTCCATGCTGGAACTTCGTTTCAATGCCAATTCATCTCTGAAACAGAACAGTACGAAAGAAAATTCATTTTTTCAGTGCTGAGATTATTCAAAATTTCCAAACACTGTCCGTCCTTTATACAAAGACTGCTCAACTTACAAAGATTTTTCCTCGTTGCTTATTACGAAGAATCTTTGTAAGCTGAACAATTCTTTCAGCCTTATCTGTCCCTGTCCCTTCTGAGCTTACCTGTTCTTCCTATGCTACTTAAAACTGGCAAATGTTTTCTGCCTTACGGATATCATATTTTCATGGAAAGCATCAGAGTAATCGAAGATCACAAATCAATAAAAACACTTACTTGTCATCATTAATATTAGTGATCTCAGTAGCAGAGGCCGAACTATCAGGTTGCTCATTTTTTTGTCCGTTGCTTCTTGCTAGAACTTTTTCCATCAATCTTTCACGAATAGCCGTTTCATCGGGAAGTGGCTGTTCTGGAGGATCCGTTTTTATACTTTCACCCTAAAAATGACTCCTGAACAAATGGTATAAATAAAGCATTCATTTTTTACCCATACTTTGTGTTGCTCTGGTCGAAAAAGCAAAAGCAATGCCACATTATCTGGCCAAAACAAAAACAGGGATAAACGAACGTGTTCGATCTGCAGCTTCACCTCAACTTTTTTTGGACTGCTTTTGCTGTCACTTTTGCCACTGCCATTTTTATCGCGCTCTTTCTCTTTGTTCGAACTTCTTTTATCCTTGTCCCGATCCTTTTTATCGTCTTTTTTGTCCTTTTTATCGCTCCTCTCACTTCGGCTGTTCTTTTCCTTCTCTTTTCGGCTACTGCTTTCTCGTTCCTTTTCCTTTTTCCGATCCTGAAATACAATTGAGTAACTTGATAATATGATAAACTTGATATTTCAATAACAAAAACTACAGCAACACAATACAAGCGTTCATAAAAGTTATTCCCCTTAGCACTGACAGTCCCGCTATTGCTGCGAAAACGGAAATAAAACAACGTAAATGCGAGACATGCCACTTATCTGTCAATATCTTGCAGACGTCGCATCAGTAAGCGGTATCCACCGGGCGTAGTAACCCCATTCAGCAACAGTCAAAAAACCGTGCGCGCCCACAGTACAAATGGCGGATACGAAACAGAGATAAAAAGCCCAAGAAAGAATAACTAGGCAACGCACCGACTGCTTGTACGAAAATGCGTTTTTTGTACAATTCCTTCGGAGGTTTTGTCTTTAACGGCACTGTTTTTTCCGGCAGACACTTCTAACTAAAAGAATCGAGCCTGACCACTAGCTTTCGGTTATGGCAATAGCTACAAATACAGATGAACAAAACGGCAGGATCAAAATCATAGGCTATTATAATCGCGAAAAAGATGCAGGCGCCGTTAATCAGGCCATCTGCAAACCGTCGCATACGCCCAATAGGTTTCAGAATTCCGCAAAACAATAATCTGGCTACGGTTCCCTCCGCGGCATGGCTTTTTTCGTAATCTGCTGGTGCTACTTTTTTTACACTCCTACACACTTTTAAATAGCTCAGACTGAGTCAGGCAGGAAGAAAATTAAACGAAAAATTTGGCTTTTGCTACAGCGACTGTCAGGAAACATCCCCCTAAAATTTCAGCTTTCTAGCTTTTCTGGTTTCTGAATTAGAAACTTACTCCCCCCCCCCGCCGCAAAAATTTTCACGGGCCCGTACGTGAGGACTACGTGGAAAAGTGCGTCCATTTCGGTGATGGAGACCTGTACATGTGTGCGGATTAAGTTGTCAACGTTTCAATTCTAGAGCTTTTGTAGCCTCGAGGTGAAAACTCGGTAGAGACACAAGCACAAGACACGCACACATAGAGATAACTCTTGGACAATACGCCCTTCTGCATTGCATAGATGCAAAAAATGCATAAAACCCTAATATTAACTGCATACGACACGTGGGTACATTCCACTAAAACTACTAACATCGGATCTATACACAGGATGTTCGAGGAATAATTATGTCGGTCGGTAGCAAGCTTTTAGATCTTTCCCCAGCCCTCAGGCTTCCCTTCCTCGACTACTGTCGCTAAAACCAGTGCCGTTCGAATCGTCGAAATCCTCTCTGTATTCACCAAGCACCAAAAGCGGATGCCTTTGGAAATAGCCAAGCCCAAGTGGTAGCAAATGTTCGGCTTCCTCTTCCGATATTTCTTTTAAACAAGCTTATGACAATCTCAACTGCCTGGCGAATGTGCCATTACCCATTTAACGTAAAAAACTGAACGGGCAGAACGCAAATGGATTGGTTGTCCTATTTGAAATTAAAGCAATGCAATTTTTGCCCTTGCGTTTTTCAGTACGATTTAATAAATCCCAATTAATTTGAATTTTCCCAGTTCAATAAATTTTCCTGACCCAGTGAAAAACTATCCCCACCTGACAGTGTTGGCACTAAGGATCCCTTGCGAAGACGTTGGAGTTAAAAGCGGTCATAACTGTGATAAAAGCAATGAAATACAAAAGCAAATCAATGAGAAATGGAAACAGAAACCTTTTCTCGATCCTTATCTCTGTCCTTATCTTTGGCCTTATCCTTTTCGTCCTTCTTCCGTGGGCTTCGGCTTCTGCTTCGCTTTTTTTCCTTTTTATCCTTGTCTTTATCACGTCGTTCCTAAAAATCCTGTTCATCAGCAGAAGTCACAAAGCATTCAAAGTTTATACAAAAACAATTATATGGTATTAACAAACCTTATCTTTTCGATCCTTTGAACGTGAACGCCTTTTGTGACGTGAATGAGAGCGTGAACGACGGTGACGGTCTCTGTAACATTTTCAGTGTAATAAAACTGGAAGCAAACCAAGCCTTTTTTCTTCCCCTCTCCCCACCGCGTCACTTGTTCTTATGAATCCAATCTTTAACTGGCAATTTTTTGGCCCCAGAATAATCCATGGTACGTAGAAGAAACAAGATTCGCTGGGGAAAAAAAATGAAAAAAGTAAAGTATGGTTTTATAAGGAATGATAAATGTTCGATGAATGAGGGTGAATTTTCTCTCAGTCGTTTAGTTCATCTGACGGACGGAGACATAGTGGTTTCACTAGAATGAGGTTAGGCATGTCATCAAGTGGGCCGATGCAAAAGCAGATGCAGTTGCTCTTGAAAACCTGTGATGAGTAAATGGAAAATGAACGAACGATCTAAAACTGGGTTTGCATAACGCTAAAACTGCCTGCACTGATCAACTTATAAAAAGAACCAGGCCCGTAAGTGGAGAGCGATGAAACACAAAGAGGAAGGAGAAGAACACCGGAGAACGAAAAGGAAGAACAAGAATCCACAAGGTTTTGCAAACCCACAATTATCTGTAAAAAAATTTTGCAAATATTTAGCAGTTATGCACAAAAATTTTATGCAGTAGAAAATAAAGAGAATTTTGTGCAAAATCAAACAAAGAAGGGAAGCAGCCACAAACACTACCGATCCCTTCTGGGAAAAATCATCTTAAATCCCCTGGCCAAGTTCCAACAGACAAGCAATCACAAGCAAAGGATGTCACTACTGAAGCTAAAACTACACTATTCGTCGAAATCGATGGAACATATTTAGTTACTTGCGTAAATACATTTTAGTTCCGGTATCTAAGAGTAGCGAAACAAGTGAAAAGTGTTGAAAAAAGAGATGGATGCATCTTAACCATGACAAAGCCCACAAAATATATCACCTTTAACGGGTTGCTGGCTTTTTTCCTGCTATACCTCCCTCCCCTTTCGCCACATTTTTCTTCGGTTTCCTTCCCCATGCTCATCAAAAGAAAAAAAAATAAGCAAGACCCCCTCCGAAGCAATGGCTATTTTAAATATTTCACCAAAGCATTACCGTGATCTACTACGCGAACGTCGATTCCTTGATCTGCTACGATGACGATGACGTGACCTACAAAAAAAAAATAAATGACCAACGCACGGGCTGCCCGTGCGAAGATGCGTTTTTTGCAGAGTTCCCCGCA